GTCACCACCGGCAAAATGCACTCAACGCCTTCCTTCTCTTGACGACTCAGTCACGCCGCTACAAACACGCAACCCAGTGATGTATACTTGCAAACCATCTCCTCCCCACCGCAACAACGTCGACCCCGACAGCGCACGACAAGCCCATGGTCTTCAGCCTCCGCCATCGACGGCCGTCGCCGCTGCAACCTCTTCAACACTGCATGCTGCTGCTGCAGCCGGCCACAATGACGTTGTCGCCTGGCTCCTTGCCAACAGCGCTCGCACCGAGCGGTTGGTCTTTGGCTCGTGTGTGTGCTCCTCGCCACACTTGCGGCTCCTTCTCGAGCACGCGCTGCCCTACAGGGATGGGCAATGCGGTCTGGGCTACGGTCTACAATACCACCCTTACGCCGTGGCACACTAATCTTCCTCTTGTTGTTCTTTCTTCTTCCCTCTTGCATTGTGACTGAAAGGGAAAACAGCCAATTCGACGCTTAATGGTCATGTCATTAGGACAAGAACGGATCATCTTTCCAACTACTGAACCCAACCTGTAGTTTTTCTTTTCTCTGGTTTGCTTGCCAACTACGTCCATCAATCAGGCTTGTTGCTCTTAGGGTGAAGCTTTACTTGCCGCGACTCCATCCAAGACTCAGCGGCGTGCGGGTCGCATAGCAGATCAAGCCAATGTTTAAAGCCAGTGCCAGGGGCTTCTTCAACACCCTTGCAGCACGCCTGACCTACCCTGGGAAAAGGCAAGGTCGGCAATCCATTGTCAGATGTCCCCGTGGCAGGTAGACGGATCTCGACCGGCACCCAGCGAATGACATGACTGCCTTGTTTGATGATCAAGAGGTACCTGCGTGGTACAAGCGGTACCCACACGGAGGCAGGCCTTTGATTGGGCAGCAGTTTTTCCGCCGCGTTTTTGGCTAAGGGAAACTTGGTCGGAACGGAATAATTGACCTAGTCGCAAAGTTACCTTTGTACTAAGGGCCCAAGTCCGCATGACGATGCCAAGCAGCAAAAGATGAGTTACAATAATGCAGGAACTAGTACCTACTTCCAAGACAGGTACGTCCCTGAGGCCAAGACAATACGTGCCTACCTGTGACCGACTCAGGAGTTAGGGGGCAAGTCGCCAATCGAAGGTAGACATCCCCATCTTTGATTTCTTCTTCTTTTTTCTTTTTTCCTCTATTCTTTTTACTTTTTTTCTTTCTTTTTTTCTAGCAGCAGGCGTTTGCCAACTTTCTAATAGCCTGGAGCGCAGATGAACCTCTTCTCTCGCGTCTCTCTTGGGCCCATACATCCTGAAGCAACCGGCCGGTGCACGCAAGTGGTGATGGAGTCGACCCGCAGCCGAGCCTGCATCGCCAAGCCCTCCTTTTAGAGTTCCAATCTCAACATCAACATCAACCACTAGCCAACTGCTACAGATTCTCCGACCAGATATAGCGTCTAGCGTCTCGCCCGTTACCGCCACACCCCGCCTTCGCCTCTCCAAGAGTGTGTCGATAGGTTTTGCACGTCGCTCAAGACAGCAATCGCAAGGAAAAGCGCTATACTCTCCGCCCTAAACAAGTACGGGTCTCTTCTCACCACCCAACCCTATTCTTACAACGTGTGTGGTGCCAGAAGTGTGATTCCCCTGGACGTGATGGAACATATCCTGCCCTCCTCCCACGAGACGGTTCGTTTTCCGTCACACCCCCGGAACACCCTCGATCTACTCCGCAAGGCGGCTCGGAACTGGAACCTCGATCCTAAGAATATCCTCTTCGCTGTCGCTTTTGGCCCCGATTGGCCCTCCTCCATCGCCCTCCTTTGCGCTCTCGCTAATCCACAACGATCTCAAGCCCGCCAAAGCAAGCGAACCGGCGTCCACATCTCTAGGTCTGGCATCACCCGTCAAGACGTCGAGCTTGCCGTGGCCTCCTCCCGCAAGACCGATCCGTCCGACAATCCGCAGGAAGTCAAGGAACCACCTCAACCTGCGGTCATAAAGCCCGCCATCGCCCAAGCTACCTTCTTTTTTCCGAGGCTGACATGGCCCGTTTAAATCTGCAAGAGCGTCCAGGTCCCACGAGAGTTCCGCTGATCCGGGCACCAACCTCCCTGGGCCTAAAAATCCCTCCCATGAGCCTGCAAGTCATTTTGAGCCTCTAAGTCCTCTTGAGCCTGTAGATATTCTCGAGTCTGTCGGTACCGCCGAGCCCAAAACTCCCTCTCACCAGCCTGCAAGTCCTTCTGAGTCTGTCGGTACTCCGGAATCCCGTAGCCCCTCCGAACCGGACAGTCCCGAGATTAATAGTTCTTTGGACGAACACTTGTTCCTAGACAACGCGAAACCTGCCGAGCCCAAGATCCCTTCCCATTACAACAGGCCCCCAGAGCCCAAGAGTCCCGTTGCATCCAGAAGCCCTTCTCCTGAGGCCGGCAGGGCAGACGCTTTATCATGCAGCCCCAACGTCTCGAGACTCTCGGATCCCGTTAACGCAGGCTATCACAACACTCAATTAGGCAAAGGCATTGCAAAGGACTTGGATGACGAGGATCAGGGGCCAGTTCAAGACGGACAACATTTGGCAAGAATCCTATCCATCTTTCATTCTGGAGCCACTACTGGCACGCTTAAGAATCAACAAGCTCAAAAGACGCTATAGACCCAAGATCCAGAGGGAGACTCCAGAATCAAATACAATAAAAGGGGGAAGCAGCGTCATACAAGCACCCCAAGTCAAACCACATAACAACGACAGCCGGATCTCACATCCAAGTCCATTACCTCCAAACACTTTTGCCAACATCTCACAAAGCAACCAAGCCCAACTGGCTAGCCTGCGTCTAAGTTAAAATGTCACTCTTCGCAGACACAGCAAGCGACTCTCCAGCATCTTGCCTAAAACAGAGGTTCACACATCCAAAAAAAAAGTCCACGCCAGCCATGTCTAAAAAGGCTCGTCTTAAGCAGGGTCAAGTCGCTGGAATAGAGACTGGCACAAGCATTCACAGCCGAATGATTAAGGGCGAATGGTTGAATGAGACGTTGGCCAGCATCTCCGCATGTACGGGAGCATACTTGGTTGACTCCTCGAGTCCGCAACCATGGTCTCTCGCGGGTGCGTAGCCAAGCCGGCTGTCCGCCAGGCTATAGGCAGGAAAACACCCATTTTGTCGCCCATCTTTACCTGAAACCACTGAGCTCGTGCCGTACTTGGGCGCGGCCGCATCGCTAGTAGGGACCTAACGCCATCTATCGTCTTAATTTATGATTCTTTGCCCTTCGCCGGCGTTTGAACCGACGTATTAGCACAAGCCGCGGTCTTTCTCAGGTACTACCTCCCCGGCACCCCTGTTTATCTATATAACCCCATGCCCGTGTTTAGTCCAGAGCAAACAAACGGCATCGATTGCGGCGTCTTTGTATTTGCCTTTGGGCTGCACGCCATCGCCAGGCGGCCGCTCCGGGCACGGCTTGATGCAAGGTTGTGGCGGCGCATCATGGCGACTCTCGCCTTTGTGGACGTGACCACATGGGAAGACATGGTCCCCACGCCATCTGATACGCCACCACCACCGCCTCTGACGCTGCCTCGGCCCGGCGAGGCGGACACTGGGAACAATGACCCGCGATGGACACTGGAGACGGCAGCACGAACAGCTAATGAGTGGCACAGAGCACCCAAGGTTCAAGTTCAGGACTACCATGGGAGGGAGTCGGCAAAGTTGCAGGAGGCTCTCCAGGAAGTAAGCGCTGCCGTCGGGGTCCGTTCAGCCGTCTCTGACAAGACGGGCGCCTACATGAGCATGAGGAACCGCGACCTCCTCGACAAGGAATCGCTCGGGGCACCTAGCGGCAACACCAGCAAGCGTGAGGAACAAGAAATACTTGGGGCGGGTCGGACCCACGAGAGAGTCAAGGCAAATCTGGATCAGCTGGATGATTTGGCGGGACTACTTGCAAGCTCCATGAGGTCTAGCGAGTCGCAGAAGAGGGAGGTGAAGACATCTAAGCTCGGTCCCCGCACAGGAGCTGTGGGCAGGCAAGCACGACATAGATACATCTGTCCCAGGATGGCTTTTTGGTAGAAGCATGGGTATGGTGTAGACAGACAGGGGCGGCCGGCCACTGCCTTGTGTTGAGCATATATAACCATCTCAACTAACGTTGATGTTTCTCTTGTTTTCTAACATCATTCCATAGTGTCCCTTGTTCGTGTGTGGATGATGTGTCGGGGCACCAAATAAGCATCTTCCTCTGCAATTGAACCATTCGCATGCCGCTACTCGTTATAGTGCCACAGTCGGGGACGCCGGGTGGGAGGATACATGTTGGCGACTTATAAGGCCGGCAAGGCTGTTTCGAATGGCTGCAGTAGCCAATTCTCTCCTCCCGCCAGACGGACCTGAGAAGAAAGAAGAAAGGGCAGGATAAGGTTAGGCAGGCGTCACAGTTATTGTTGTCATCTTTCAGGTTGACGCATGCTCATTCTCATCCGGTTGCAACGGAGGTTGTATGCAACAGAAGACATCTAATACGTCTGCAACTATAACTGGCTGCCGCTGTAAAAAAGAGAAAACCCATAGATAGGGCAGAAGTGCCCCAATTCGTTGTTATTTGTCTTGCGTCCCAGGGTGCATCACACCATCCGAAGCACAATCAACCGTATACTTGAAGCACAAATCACCAGCCCCCCCCCCCCCCCCTCAAATGGACAACATCAGTCAGCCTTTTATATCTAGACGCTTCAACTATGTTGAGCCGCAGGCCCTGACATTCCCCTCGGCCCTGACATTCCCCTCGGCCTTGCTTTCCAGACCCGTGTAGCGTTCTCCCTACAAGCAGCCCGTCCAACCACCCGAGACCGCCTAGGCGAGAGGAATCAGCACCTGGCGATAGGCCTGTGATAGAGGCCTCGCATGCCAAGCAAGCCGTCTTGTATCAGAACACAAACAAAGTCAACAGTCAAAACCGGCAGCAACACAAGCAGATGCACATGCAAAAAAGAAAAAGACATACAACACCAAGGATTCGCTGGTCGTCACCGACCCAACTACTAGTTTGGCCCTCACCGGCTTGTCTATGGGAGAGCGGACGGGATCCCGAATTCTCTAGTGGGTATGGTCGTATGTGGTGTTCTAGGCTCGTAGAAAGTGTAATATTGTTAAGCAAGGGGGTCTGGATGGAAAATGCTTTGGGTACTCAGACCCAGGGAGTGCTGGGCTGTAAACGATACCGTAGTATTTGTATACTGGGGCAACCGTGGACACAAGGAGACAAAAAGAGAGGACCGGATTTCGTTCATCTACATGCCTTGTCTTGTTCCACTTTGTCCCATTCCACATCATCTGATCTCATCTTCTGCAGTCATCAATTATTTAGCAGCGTCTCTAAACGCTTCTATACTAGTATGGCATGGCATGGCCCGAAGCCTTTCGGTTTGATTCCCGGCATCTCAGCGCGCGTTCAGTTGCGTTGCAGTTATCGTCTCCGTGTACCCTGTCCCTTTCTCAGCAAGAGATGTATTGCCTAGCCAAGACCATACAGACAAACGCTGAAGCTGGTGATAGGGTCAGGGTGTGTCGGAGGAGCCGAGATTTCCAAAGAGAAGAAGAAGCGGTAACACAAGACAGAATAACAATGATTGAATGTAAAGGGAGAGAAATGGAGAGCATTAATGGGGGGTTCTGCTTGTCCCGGTTAATTACTCATGCAATCTTGTTGGCCGCGGAGAAGATAGAGGGAAGATGCCTCGTCATCCTCTTTCCCTTGCTTTCTTCTTCTTTGCATGAACATGAAGCAGCATCTACGCAAACCATGTAGAAAATGCGTATATTCCACTTTAATCTCTCGGCAAAATCCGGTCTTTCTTGGTTACTTTGACACACTCGAGCAAGATCTAGACCTCCTACAGGAAACGTCTTCCTCCTCCTCCCTCCCCTCCCCCTTCTCATGTAACCCAGCCGGTAAGTTTTCGGGGTCCCGGTGCGGCCAGACAAGCCTGACTTCGATCCCTGGTCTCCTGACCTTGTTGTCTTGCCATTTGAATGTTGTTCTCCTCCTTCACCTCTCCAGTCAACCAAAAACCAACCTCTTCCAGGGCCACCATCTCTTCCTCCTACCTACACTGCTATCTCGGGCGTCTACTAATATCACGGCCTCTCTCGGCGGTCAGCCCCTTTGCAACCACCCGACCCCGAGCATACCCGAGCACTTTGAAGCAGGCGCCTGCTTGGCTCCTGTATCAACGAGTCTAGGCTTTTCATATCTCGATTCTTCGGAATCCTGCCACACCAGCCTGTGCTGCACACAATTCTGTGCATTGCTTTGCAAAACCCGAAATCAATCAGCTGCCAGGCCATGGGACAAGAAGCCACGCGCCCACATGGTCCACCTTCAGACATCATCCCCAGCACTCGTCCGTGCAGCTGGGCGTCGCGTCGCGAAGACAACGCGGCAGCAAACACAATAGAAGCCAACGGTTCCTGGGCGACGACGACGGCAACCAGGGAGTCAAAAAACACGATACGCTCCTTGGGGAAACGGTGCGTTGGCCACCTATTTGACCACGCAAAAGATGGATGGAAACACAAGGCAACATAGACCCTGACTTACAAGTGAGCCATGTACCAAACCAAGTCCAGTCTGATTGCCTTCTAGCAGCAACCTAATGTCATGAGCCAGCAACAAGAGGGCACGCAAGCCATTACCATACCAAGGCGCAAAGGTAGGAAACGTCAAGGCCAGGCCTTGGTACCCCTGCCTGTGGGGATGACAAAGATCCCATGGAGCTGGAGTCGGCGCTGCTTGCGGCCGATGAGATAGGAAATGGCCCCATTAACCGCGCAACAGATTCAGAGCCGCCACCATGGCACAAGGTACTCTTCACATTTCCATCTTTTAGTGCCTAGACCTGAGATGGAGCCACATTTCCAGGTGGCCCGTCGTGGCTTTTCTTTTAGGTTTTTTTGTCAGGCACTTTGACATATGTCAAGGTGGAAAACGTCGTCTCAATGGGCCCTGGCATGCCCAGTCAACTGACAACAACACAACGGGATGCTTTTCAAGACAGACACAAGAAGGCCTGTTGCATGTTAGGCTGCAGGTAAAAGGCCGGCGACCATCGTACGCATGATAGGCGACTACAACTATCCCACAGGTGGCATGTTATGTCTTGAAAATTAGGCATGATTTCATAAATTACGACGTTTCACCCCAGTTGCTTCACCATCTTTGCTTTAGCGTGCTACGCAACATGTTCAAACGGACGAGGCTGCTTGTTGCACCATCCCTTACAGTCTCTCTGAGATTCTTCCCCCTTGCTCTTTGGGACCATCCCACCACGAGCTGTTCTAATGGATTGTGGGTTACCCTTTTGTACGTAAACACCATTTCTGAACTTTCCTTTCTAAAGATGACGGATGCTACAGCCATTCTACTTGCGCTAGATCATGTCGCACGCTTAGATCTCGCGTGGTCGACATATGTGCAAAAGAAACCAACAATCGTCGTTTTGTCCTGCGAGTTCAGCCGCGCTCCGGGAATCCCGAGGTGCAGCCACCATTACGTCCGAGACGCGAAGCGTCGGGTCTGGTGTGGAAACTTGCGGCACTGCGTTTTGGATAACAGCGATGAACACCGTCTGAAAGATCTTAACTACCGATCTAACGGTTTGGCGAGAGAATACGGCTTTGTTGCCGTCACCGCCGTTGTAGTTGCTAGTTGCTGCTGTCGTTGTCCCAGCTTTGCTCTCGTACTATTTCCATACTGAGACACTGCAGGAAAGCAGTGAGAAAGCGTCATGGCCGCTGGCGAGAAGCGAGGAGAAAAGACGTGGAAACCACACCAACCTCTAACGCTGTTAGAGCAGGGCGATGCGTATATAGCTAGATAGGCCTAGTGATTCTCAGACCTAATCTGTAATGAAAACTGAAAAAGGTTGAGAATTAACAGAGAAATTTGTAAAAAGAGTAATTCTAGTAATCATAATAGTAACTAGAAGTAAAGTACAGTAATAACTGTATATATTCTGCTGTAGTAACTAAATAACTAATAAAACAGATCTAATAATAATAGTAGTTATATAAATATTAAGGTAATAGTAATGCTTGCCCTCCTCTAGTAACTGTAATATCCTTCTGCTTATCTTATACCTAGCTGCTAGATAAAATGTAGCTTTAGGCGCTTTAGCAGCCAATCCACCTAATCTCATTATAATGTATGTGGGGTAGGTAGGTTATTTTGATTTCAAGACCTTAAGGACTATAGACGGGGCATTCCCAGACCTACTAATCTTTCACTGGAAGCTCTCATGGTGCTTTTAGAAGTGTTTCTTACCTTAAAACTATCTAAGCCAAACCCCCTTCAAACTAACACCAACATTATGTTTCCAAGTAGGACCAGCTTTACAAAATCGGGAGATGTCGTCGTTAGCGACATGTAGTATCTGTTGGTCTCACAGGCGGGTTGGCGATAGTACTCGTACAAGTGTGGGAGAGCAACGATGGCTCCAAAAATGTTGATATTGCTGGATATTGCGGTGACTGTGTAGGTGGGCGGGCAGCTCTGGCACGTGGCCGGCACCTGCCACACCTCTTGGTGGCTTCAACCTGCTGCAACAGGTCGTCTGCCCCTATTACATCGCGCTTGCCTTCACCAAACGAACATGGTCTGACGTCGGCCTTCTGGGGAAACCTCGGCCCGGCATTGCGGCTTTACGGTAATCGCGGCCGGAAGAATTCTCCTGCCGGGTCGACGGAGCAACGTGCCCTGTTCATGCCCACGGCCGCCGAACCGGTTCTCCGCCCCCACCACGTCGCTCCGCCCATCGCACGTTTGCATGAACCCTCAAGCACCAAACCGGCAAGCTCTCCAATTGCACCACGACACACGAAACCCAGCGGGCCTTCCACGGCCAGCTCCATGTCGGGCACCCGAGACTTGTCGACCTCACCCATCCCACCGCCATCTGGTCTCACTCTCCCTCTCGCTATGAGTGGGGAAGGCCACTCACGCGCGGCCGAATATGCCCCTTCTCATCGCCGTTTTTCACGTCTTGTCATGTCTTTGGCGGCGTTCCGTGGGCCTCCGGCGCAATCGACTTGTCTCGTGGAGACAAACGAAGGACGTCATCGCTGATTACGGCGAGGCTTGGTTCAAAAAGTACCGCCATCCTCTTCCAAACTTGCAAGGCCAGAGTTCCCGCAACCACTCCCAAGAAAAGAACAAGAACCAAAATAAACACTGCTCTCACTGCAGAAATCATCGCGGACGCACGCGGCGCCCACGTCGCGAGCGCTTCCCGAAGCTACCGGCACACACGTGCTTCTCATTCTCATGGGACGACGTCTACCGTACGTGCCTGTGTCGCTTGGTCGCCTCAAGACCGCCTCCTGAAAGGTTTGTTCGCCTTCCTTTGGTTCGGCCCTTGCCTTCTAACACGTTGAATACAGGTGCCCCAATCAATGCTCACCATGTACGGTGTGGAGATGGGCTCACCAGAGTCGCCACGGGTTCGACCGACCTCGGCAACCCCGTCGGCGGCCAAATCACCTTCTCCCGAGCGGCAGATACAACTGCCTTGATGCTCGGAGCAGCTTCCGCTGAACCAACTTCATTCAACCTACACAAACAACGCATCTCTTGCTCGGTGTTCTTCCGCAATTCTTGCGCCGCCGCTGCAGACATGCCGACTGCATTTTCCAGTCGGCTTGCCCACCACCTTCACAACCACAAGATTGCTGCCATCGCGGCTGTCGCCTCTCACCCCCCACATCTGGTCTTGAGCAGACGGACTCCTCCTTCTATTGCGAGTCGAGTAGTCAGACTCCCGATGCGTCCATTTCTGCCCCTCGCCTCCTCTCGTTTGTGGCGGGCAACTTCTCCCCCAACGTCGTCTGGTACCGGAGCGGTCAACCACGCTCTTTCTCTTGTCTATGCTCCCCTCTAGAGCTCGCCGCGAAGATCATGGTCTGGCCAGCCACGATCGCGTATTCCGGCGGTTTGGCGGGGAGACACGGCAAGAGACCGAGCCGCGACACGCCCAGGTCTAGACTGCGTCTGAGAGAGAATTATATGCCCGACAAGACATGGACGGGATGGATCGAGATGGACTTGGGGATAGCGATACA